TCAGTAACTGCAAATTCAGTAATAATTAGCCGCTCTGAAAACTTGTTTAGGGTGAGCAAACCAACCCTTAAAATCTCATGGAGTATTTATTTCTCTTTTTTAAAAAACACAGAACATTTTCTGATATGCCAAGCAGAAGGAACAAAAGTTTTCTCAGATATCAAGAAGTAGCGTGCGAGGATCCTCCACAACATCTTTAATCCGGCGCAAGAAGAAGACTGCTTCTCTACCATCAATTAGACGATGATCATAAGTTAGAGCAATGTACATCATGGGCCTTGGAACAACTTGTCCACCGACAACCATGGGACGGTTCACTATCGAGTGCATTCCCAAGATGGCTGACTATTAAAGATCAAATCAGAGAAACAGATGGAATTAGCAGGGGGTAGAATGACATACAAAGCATAACATGTAAAAAACATCAAGAATCCAAGGTGTCATACCTGGGGGGGATTGATGATTGGTGTACTTATAAGACTTCCATAGACACCACCATTAGATATGGTGAACGTACCTCCAGCCATCTCGTCAATTGATATTGAGCCATCATTTGCCTTCTTTGCAAGTGTGTTGATCTCCTTCTCAATGTCAGCAAAGTTCATTTTATCTGCATTGCGGATGACTGGAACAACAAGACCCTTGAAAAAGAAATTGGGAACAGAAATTAATATTGCAAAGAAGACGGATTCTAAAAAAAGAGAAAAAAATCACAAAAATAAATCCCCAGAATTATACAGTCAGCCATGAGGGTCCCTTCCCTAGTTTCTTAAGAAATGATATGACCAATCATTCAACCATACTGGATCCATCCAAACACGAAACCTAGAATTTTTAAGATGCTTATTAAGCTGATACTATGACCAATTGATCATGTGAATATCCTGCATGACCAGCACTCAATGAGGACATGGAAGGACCCGTCCCATGACCAGAGGGATATTATATATTTATATAAACAAATATATACTAATATCCACCCATCCAAATTTTCAAATGGAATTTAAACAAAATGGACGTCATATATATCAACAAATTCTAGCAATCTCCAAATTCATGTCATACTTTAGGGGTACCAACAGCAATACTGACGTCAATATAGTCTCTATAAATGATGTCATCCCCATCAATAACAGCATTGATGACAGGCTGATTCTGGAGCCCACTGACAGCAGCCTGAGAGAAATGAGACATATTTTAAAAGTGAACATTGCAAATGAAACACACTTCAAACATATATTTAAGCTAATGAATTAATGAGAAAGCTGTATACCTTGATAAATCCTGACATAAGTCCTAACTTGACTCCATGCTTCTCAACAAAAGCATCTTTGTAATCGGAACGAAGCTTCATCAGATTAGTCCTGCAATACAAACAAAATCAAAGAGACAATGAGCCAGAGATATCATTAACGTAAAAACTCACAGGAAAATGTTCAAATGAAGCAGAAAATCAATAACCATAAAATCCAACAATGCAAAAAAATACGGACGTAATTGTGGGTTATATGAAGTCTATTAGTTCTTAAATAGTGAAATCAAGGATAAAAAGTTCATAAAGATGAACACAAGCAAAGTGAGGTCACATTCTAACTCATTAACCATTAAAAAAATGAAAAGGTAGAGAAAATTTACATATCTACTTCATTGAAGGTGGTCAGCATAGCAAAAGTGTTCTGGGAGTCCTTTAGACGTGTTGCAACACGTTTCCTAAGTCTTGTCATAGGAACCTGCAGTCAAATAAGTCAACTATTGAAGCAGCAAAGGAAGGATTTTTTTAATAGGGTTTAAAAACAAGTCATGACACCAAAAGAACCCTCTTAATCATGACACATACTCTTCTTTCCCTTTCCTTTGGAGGAAGTTGTGGTTCCTTTGCTGAGTGTTTGGAAGGCGCTGGAGTAGGAGCCTTGGGCTTTTCCTTTGAAGGTGAAGTTTCTACTTTAGGCTGGGGGCTAGGTTCCACTTCAGACTTTTGGGTGTCTGACTTTTCTTTCTTTCCACTGTCCGGCTCGGAGGTACTTTTGCTAGGTATTTTCTCTGATGGAGCAACATGAGTTGCGCCTTCAGATTTTGAAATGACAGCTATCTTGGTGCCTGGCTCCACAGTATCACCTTCTTTGGCCACAAACTGAAAACAATTATCCAAAGAAACACTAGTCAGAACCGTATAATTTCCAAGGAGATCTAAGTTTATCCAACTTTATTTTGTATGATACTCTAACCTTTTCAATTATGCCGGCTTGAGGACTGTTGACATCAATTGTCACCTATGTTTAAGAAATAATTAGCATAAATTGAAAGCAAAGTGACTATTGACATCAATTGTCATCTACTTATAAGTAATAATTGGCACAAACTGAAAGCAAAGTGAAGAGTTTTAAGTTCAATGGATAAAAGTTTTGAATTAAGAATTACCTTATCAGTTTCTATTTGTGCAATAGGCTCATCTGCTTCTACATGATCACCTGGTTCTGTTTGCATTTAAAACCAAATTGGAAAGAAAAAAAATTAGGAGAGTGCATGAATATATGAATGCAGATACTTGTATGGAAATGTAAAAACAACAAAAGGCAGTTTCTTAACCACTTACGCTTTAAGAACTTTGCTAATGTGCCATCAGTGATAGATTCACCCATGAAAGGAACAAGGGCATCAACCGA